TTATTTAGTAAGCTTTGTGGGCATTTTTTATATGTAATAAAGATTCAGGACTTCTGCAGATATCTCTAAATATAATTTAATACTTAGATTAAAAAAAAGACAATCAACACTCTTAGACTAATGATATCTAGTTCCTGCCACCCTTTATTTTTGAGTGGGATAGAAATTAATAATAATATAATAATAACAGCAGCAGGAGCAACAGATAGGGTGTTTTGAGTCCTTACAGTGACGGACACAGCACTAAGTTATTCCAATATATCCTTACAACTCTATCGTTCTCCTATTTGATAGAGAAAAACTGAGGCTTAGCGAGGACATGGACATCTTCCAAGACGATACAACTAACAAATAGTTGAGATGGGATTAAATTGCTAAAGGGGAGTGGGGCAAAGTAAAAAGCGTGTAGTAGCTGGCATTCGGAATTTATGTTTCATATGTTTTAATTAAGGTTGCAAGAAATACTTGAGTGTAAATAAGAGCTTACATAGGTGTATGTGTAACAATAATGCATAAGCACAATGGGGGAAGGGTGTGTGAAGGACGAAAATTGTAGGTAATCCTTGAAGAGTACTTCCAGGGCAGGACCTGGACTCTGGAGATGAGGAGGCCGTTTCATATCTCTCTGTACTCACAACCTTCTTTGTTCTTAGATCTGCTCTCAGCTTGAGCTTCTGCTTACCCATCTCTTCTGCTTCCTCCTCCCTCATCTTACCAGGATGCTTGTGGGCCTAACTCTACCTCCCAGCTGTTCACCCCATACATCCTTAGTTTCAGCTTCCACTGCCGACTGCCTCATTCTCTCGGAATTCCTTAGTTTATAATCTTGAGAGAGTGAATCTGATTGGTCCAGTGTATCATGTTGTGTTAGGTCACTTACAGGCTGCTGGCCGGGTGCTACACTTGACACCAATCACTTTGGCTGAGGAGGAGGTAAAGGGAGGTCAAATGGTAAAACCATGGCTGCCTGATGGCCACGCTCTCCACGAGAGTCTGTGGGCAGAACAGGCATGGTAATAGCCATTTCCAGCACAACACAAGTCTTCATCCCAAGGCTCTAAGAAGGCCATAGAGTGAAATAACTTGTCTCCAATTCCCAAGTCCCCATGATTAGGGTAGGAGGGAGTATTTGCTGTTCCAGATGTCTTACCTAATGGAAAGTCAAGTTTGTAAACTCCTTTAGGGTTGGAAGTTTTGTTTTGTGCATTTATTCCAAGTACCTAGAGCAGACTCCGAATAAATATTTGTTGTATGAATGAATAAATGATACTGCAGTATCCAGCAACTCTTAAATGTTGTGGCTTAGACAATGGAAAATCTACATGCTACTTTGGTCCTGGCTCCCAGACAATATTAATGCCATCCTAACCAGAACATAGCTGTGGATATAACTTTCTAGACAACCCACTTATTATTTGCTTACAAGCAAATACAAATGTTTTAGGGTCAGATGCTGGTTTTAATTCCAGCTAATAACTGAAAATTAACTGTCTGGCCTGGATAGAAGTCAGTTTCAAGACTCCTCAAGGAACAGAGATGGTAAGAAGGCTAAGCATTTCAACTGGTACTTCTCAACCAGGGATGATTTCTGTTACCAGGAGACATTCAGCTATGGGTGGAGGTATTTTTAAATTGTGGTAAAATCAAGACAACAAAATTTACCATTTTTAAGTATACAGTTCAATAGTGTTAAGTACATTCACATTGTTGTACAACCAATTTCCAGAATGTTTATCTTGAAAAACTGAAACTCTTTATCCATTAGACAACTCCCTATTCTGCTCTCCCCTCAGCCTGACAATTACCATTGTAGTTATCCTATGATTTTGGCTACTCTGGGTACCTCATATAAATGGAATTATACGGATTTGTCTTTTTGTGACTGGCTTATTTCATTTAGCATAATGTCCTCAAGGTATCATTCGTGTTGCAACATGTGTCAAATTTTCCTTTTAAAGGCTGAATAATAATATTCCATTGTATGTACAGACCGCGTTTGGTTTACTCATTCATCCACCAATGAACATTTGGGTTGCTTCCACCTTTCTAGCTATTGCGAATAATGCTGCTATGAACATGAGTGTATGAACATCTTTTTGAGGCCTTGCTCTCAATTATTTGGGTATATACCCAGAAGTATAATTGCTGGATCATAAGGTAATTCTATTTTAATTTTTTGAGGAACTGCTATACTGTTCTCCACAGAGGCTGCACCATTTTACATTCCCACCAAAAGTGCACAAGTGTTCTCATTTCTTCACATCCTTGCCCATACTTGTTAATTTCTGGGTTATTTTATTATTATTATTATTATTATTATTTATAGCAGCTGTCTTCATGGGTGTGATGTATGGAGACATTTTTGGTTGCCACAACTCAGGGGTAGAGGTGCCACTGAATTTAGTGGGTCAAGGTCAGAGATCTTATTAAACATCCTACAAAGCACAGGACAATCCTCCACCACAAAGAATGAACAGGCTCCAAAGTCGATAATGTTGTGGTTGAGAAATGCTGATTTCAATAATTAGGTTCACCTTTCATAGAAAACCTCATCCCCCGATGTGTGCAGTCTGTCTGTCCTCTGTTGAGATGCTCAAAGGCAAAGATTTTCAAAAATCGGGAGAGCAAGGGAAGACTGAGAAGAATGTCAACATTTCTTTTATTCAAATTTTATTGGAAGTTTACAAATGTATTACAGACATCAGTAAAACATCATATCCATTTTACAGGGCACAGATCTCAAGCAAAGTGTTCACAACAGTCTCTGGCAGAGCCCACACCAAAGGCCTGTTGCAGACCTTCTTAACAAACAGCTCGACACTCGACACACAACACAGACTCCGGCCTGCCTCACCATCTCACGCCCTCTGAGGTTTTGTTTATGTACTTGGATTTAAAGCAGGGGATGGGCGAAGCAATCCTGTACAGGAAAGGATGTGTTTAGGAGAGGGAAAAGTGCCAAAATCCTAATTTGCTAAGGAAAATGGAGGACTCATGGGCCTTGAGAGTATTAAGTCAGGGTCCATGATAGAACCAAAATGCTTTATGAGAAAATATGGAAATCAACCAGAAAGGATTGAGAACAGAACTGGCTGATGAGTAACTCACTCTGAAAAATTTAGAAAAGCTTGGTTGGTGACCTATTGAACGTCAATGGTCAAATGCCCAGTAGGGTGAAGAGATGTCTCAGAAAATTCTCAGGATAGAACAATTTTTTTTTTTTCCTATCCTACAGATTCATCAGGTCTGAATCACAGAAATATTTTCCTAACACTACATGGCTTCCCCCCACCTCCTTTTTATTCTTCTTGAGGAAAGCTAGTTT